ATAAATAAATAAATAAATCTTTTAAAAAAATAAATAAATAAAATAAATTTTTGGTATTAGAAACAATACTGTCAAGACATTCATGTGCCTATGTCTCAGGTGACATTTGTATCACTATGTATTTGACAATTTAGAAGAAAAATTGCTGAGTCAAATGATATAAGCATTTAAAAAACTTGACAGCTATCACCAAATTCTTTTCTAAAGAAGAAGAACATATTTATACTCCACAATAGCATATGTGTGACTCAGTTTCCCCGCAATCTGGTAGTCAGAAATTTTCTTCAAACATTTGTATCCTTACTGCTCTAATTAATGAAACATGGTGGAGCATACCATTGTTGTTTTAATTGCCATTCTTTAATTTTAAGTAAGGCTGAACAACTTTTATAGGATTAAAAAAAATTCTTTTTGCAACATCTGTCCTTTTTTTATAGACTGTGGTTTTTTATTTACTTGTAAAAATTCTTGGTATATCCAAAGAATTTTTGTCTCATCTATTGCAGATAGTTTCCAAATGTCTTATTTGTTTTTGTGTAAATAAGTTAATTACTATTTAGTCATACTTCCCAATATTTTCTAGTATGGCTTCTGGGTTTTATCCTTTGCTTAAAGCAGGTTTCTCTGCTCCTAAGTTATTATTTTAAAAACCCCATGATCCTCTAGTGATTTTAGCTGTTTTACATATCTGGTGCATATTAAGATAATTTTTAATAAAAAATGAGATATATTTTAACTTGTATTTTGAGTGAATCAAACAGTTGTTATCAAACTATTTATTGAATAACCCTTCTTTTTCCACTGAATTTCCATGTCCATTGGAATTTACTTCTGAACTCTCTTTTGTTCAATGAAACTAAACAAATCTTAAAACAATGTGCCTATCTCCAATTCATTTTACAGGTATAGTGAGAAATGTATGATTTCGATAACACCATTATTACTAAAATATTAAATTAAACCAGAAAGCTCCATAACATTATATTAAACATTATTTCCAATATAAAAATATTAAATATACTAATAACAATTGTTTGTATAGGTATATACATATAGGTATTCACCTATATAATATATATAGGTATATACTATAGGTATTCACTCATTTCATATTTATGACTAATAGACTTTGACGCCAAAGGTCTAGAAATTTTGTCTTAACCTGATTTTCTCAGTTGATAAGTACATCTCAAGCTTTCTCATTCCAAATCTAATGTTCATTCACTATATCACAGATAAAATCAATCCATTTAACAAAAGATTATAATTTACTGCATATTTCATATGTGTTTAATAAGTCTTATAATCTCATTTCTATAGACATAAACACCTCCTAAAATTCTTAGAAGAATGAAGTAAGAAGTATATAAATGCACAAATAAGGTCATTTTAAACAAAGATCTTCATTTATACCCTTGTAGAGATGAGAGATTTGTTCAAAGAATTGTCAGGAAACATCACTGGCAAAGCCATTAAACAAAGATGCTTAGGTTGACCAGTGAAATACAACCACTCCTGGCATGTTTCACGATAAAAAGTAGGCAGTATAAAAAAAATAAATAAAAGCCCTGGAAAAACATATATGATATAAAGGTATATGTGTAATTTACCGAGTCTAGGCTACCAGAGGAAACTGCAAAAAATTCACTTATCAAAGTGGAGCTTTGCCAGGTTATTTATCTTGACTTCTCTCATTCTGATTCAAAATCCAAGAGGGTTGGCCTTGTGTGTTCTAGTTAAGTATGAACCTATGTAACAATCATCAAGTTTTCTCAGACCAGGGCAAATAATCTAACTATGAGTGTTTGTGCGTCCTAATTGGTTTCTCTAGGTGGGTGGTGAAATAATAGCCCATGACAGTGGTTGATCCTTTTCTTGAAAGGAACCATGAGTTTTGGAAAGTTCTGCCATTCACAGGGCAAGATAACACTTGAGATACAGAATCTAGTGATGTTTGTTAATAAATGAAGTCAACAAAAATACTTCAACCTCAAAAGGAAAAGAGGGCTTAAATATGATTGCAGGGTGCTCAATTAGTGACCACTCATTAACTACAAAGTACATAAACATAATAGCAAGAGAAAGAAGTGAACAATGACCCTACCTTTGACATTAATCTTCTTCAACCTCAAGTTAGCTTTTTATGACCTTTCCAAATAAACTTTGCACGTGTACAGGTATGGCTATCTTAAAACATCAAATACCTACATTCTGTAAGCACTAAGCAAAAAGAGCGAGAAGTGTAAACTTATATAAATCTAGGGGGATTCTTTCAAAACATTTTTTTAAAGCATGATCTACATTTTAAGAATTAGTTTTCATTTTTTCTATCTACTAAGAAAAACAGAACAAAACTTAGAATTCTTACATAAATCCTAAGTGATTGTCCTGAATCTCATCTCTCTTCCCACCACCCACAAAAAGATTTAGGATTGTGGACTTCCTGCTGGAGGAAGTAATTGCTCAATCACTTAAGAATCCATTGGAACACTTTTCAGCCTGAGTCTGGACAGGCATATACAATTGTAAAATATCCCTTTCCTCACTTAGAGTTCAGAGCTAGATGTCAGTCTGTGAGACCTTCTGCTTGGTCTGTTCTTTCCAAGTTACATACTGTGAACAGATTTTATCTCAGAAAACTAGTCGTTGCTTCCATTGGTGCCTTCCTATTTTTATCTTAAATAAATAACATCCTATTTTAGTCCTTTGAATGTGTATATTCACCATGAGTTTGGCACAACTGCCACCCAGTACTTAAAAATAGAAGATTTTGGGGTCAAAATGAAAGGGAAAGTGGACCAATTACCAGAAATTGAGACAAGAGATGTCAAGATAAAGCAAAGAAGTAGTAGAGTTTAACATGCAACTATGTTAGTGTCTAGTCAACGGCACGTTCCACCAGGTCATTTGTTCTGTCGCTTCATACTACATACATGCTGAGCTCCCACTACGGGCCAGGTTGTGCTAAGGCTACAGATGCACAGGGACCAGAGTCACCACTTCTCCTTAATCCTTGCAAGTTCACTGAATTCCATCAGTCCTGTCAAATGGCAATCATTTCCCTTTCTAGATGAATGAGCCCTGTCTTTATAACAGTCTAGGGTATGATTTATCCTGTAATTCACTAAAAAAAAAACATGGTCTTTAGACTAACTTGACTATATTCCAACATTCTCATATTTTCTGCTAAAAAAAGTTTGGAGTGAATCTTTACTTCTCCCTTTTTTTAAAAAAAAAGATTTATTTATTTATGCATATTAAGAACTGGGGTACAGGCCAGAGATGCAGGGGGTGAGAGGATCCACCAGAGACAGAGCAGGAAACAGAACAGGCAGACTGACTGAAATACACTGCTGAGGGGAGCAGCGGGTAAGACAGGTGAGGTCTGCCTTGCCATGTGCTGTTCTCCCTGGCTGGCCGGGGATCAAACTCATGCTGCAGCGGCTGTGGATTGTTTCATAGTGTGGTGCTCAACCTCTTGCGCCACCAGGTAGGCCCTTTGCTTTTCCCTTTCTCAAGACAAAAACCTTATATTACTCTTAGGAGTGCAAACTGGTCCAACCACTATGGAGAGCTGTGTGGAGATTTCTTGACCTACTAAACATAGAGCTTCCATATGATCCAGCAATTCCACTCCTAGGTATTTACCCAAAGGACACAGAAGCAGCAATTCCAAAGAGCACCTCCACCCCTATGTTTATAGCAGCACAATTTACAATAGCTAAGCTTTGGAAACAACCCAAATGCCCCAAAATAGATGACTGGATCAAGAAGATGTGGTACATATACACCATGGAATATTACTCAGCATTCAAAAAAGATAAACACATGCAATTTGCAGCAACATGGATGGAGCAACAACCGGATGGTCTCACTCATAGCAGGAATCTAGATAACTTAAATAAGGGACCAGGAAAAAGAATAACTATAAGAAAGAAAATATCAAAATTGACAAACAACTATGAACCAGAAACACTGTATGCGGGGTGGGGGGCGGGGAAAGGAAGGATTGGGGTCAAAATAAGGGGGTTGCAATTGTATGGGGAATATAAAAATAAAATTAAAAAAATAAATAAACAAAAAAAAACCCTTATCACTCTTATCACTCTCAAGAAGCAAGGCGGGGGGAATCTCAAACAGCCTTTTAATAGGCGCATTTGACACCATCGGGATAGAAATCTGGTGGACTCCAGCTGCAGCGGATCTCTGCACCACGAAGTCAGGCCGCCGCTTCACTCTCGCCACTAAAAGGCCACGTCCAACCCACGCCCCCAGCCCCTCCCAGCCGGCGCTGGTTCTAAGTAGGGAGCAAATCTCCGCCCCCATTGGCCTCTGGGCGGGGCCGCAGGCGGCTCCCAGACGGCCGCCCCGCTGAGCTGACTGGGGGTTTAGTCAGTGCATAGTCTCCGAGCCCGAGCAGTCAGTCACACCGGGCTCAGACCCGGACCTGACGCCGCAGCCCACGTGGCGGCAGCTGGAGAACTCCCTCCGCGGTTCCTCCCGCCAAGCTGAGCAAGTAGAAGACGACCCGCCGGCCCTCTACCAAGTCCAGTTCCTCCCCCACCCTCCCGTATCGCCAAGCCGTTTCAGTCGCGTTGGTTAAGGCCCGCGGGATCTCAACAAATTCTTAGAGACACAAAATTCAGTCAAAAAACTGGAAACAAAGCGTTGCGGTACTCCTCCAGCCTTTTGGGTGCATTGCCCCATCTAAGTTCTTTTCATTCACCCTCTTCCCTTCCCTTATCTTCTTTTTCTCCCGGCGCCTGCCATCTCCCAAATTTTCACCTTGAACGTTAAGTTGAGTAATTTAAATTTTGGATTCGGTACCCTTCTGTTGCATTGTCCTGGAACGGGCCCCTAGCATTGGACTCAAGTGCTTATTGGGTCTTAGTAAAACGTGCAAAAGAAAAACAGTATTATCTTTCCTAACAAATTTATCCAAGATTGAGCACTAACACCCCCCCAGCCCCAGCAACCCCCTCCCTCCCCAACACACACACCTGGATACACCCCTAGCCAGGTGTGCTAGTCCACCAAGCTACAGAGAAGACCTGGAGCGCGCGCACATCCCAGTCGGCTCAAGAGGAGGCTTTTCGTTTCTGCACTTGGCACGGACAATGCCTCCTTCCTTCTTGCTGGTTTCTCCACACGCCTCGATGGACGTCGCGGACTCTTCAGTAGAAAACTATCGACCAAATGGAAAGCGAGGGTCCTGCGTCCTTTTATAGAGGTTGTGAAAGCACCTCGCATGGTTTAGGGGGCTCATTTCTCTCCACTCCTGCAGGATTTCTCCATCAGAGGGCGCCCACACCCATCACAAAGCTCCCTATTCCTAGACATCTGGGTTCTGCAAGCCCGAAGCACGCAACCCCGGGGCCGAGCGCAAGAAGCGCACCGCCTCCCTCGCTCCTCCCGCTTCGCCTGCCGGGGCTGACTGGGGAGGCAGGGATTTCACACTAGCCATTCATTTGTCAGCCGTGGGGGAGGGGACGAATAAGCGCAAGAGACACAGCAGAGTCTGGGAGAGAGGCAGGGAGGCCGAGAAGATGGAGACAGAAAGAGAGAGACAAAGATGAGAAGGGGACGCAGATGGCACGACAGTCTTTCCGCCCCTGGGCGCGCGCCGGGCTGGACAGCTCTCCAGGCGCGGCGTGGACTTGCTCTCTCGCGAGCATCTCCCCGGGACAAGCGGGACGTGCCGGGGCTCAAGTGGATCCAGAGCAAATAGTTGTGGCTGTGACACTCTTTTATTTTTTTCTCTTTCTCTACGCTGCCTAACACACTGACCCCTCCACGCCCGGTGACACAGAAAGCTAGTCCAGACACCCCCCATTTTCCAAGCCCCAGGGACGCCTCCCAGCGGCGCCCACGCCGCCCAGCGCTCCGGGACGCTCCAGCGGTGGGCGTCCCCGGGGACTCCGGGCGCACACTCCGCGCCGCTGGAGCCGCCAGTAAAGTTGCTCAACTAGGACTGCGAGATGGGAGGGGGTGGGGAGAGGGAAGAAAAAAGAGGACTGCTGTAACCGGTCGTGTGGGCTGGTCCTGGAGGCCCCAGATTCGGGTCGCTGCACCACCTTTGTCTGGAGAGTGCTCTGAACGCGGCTTTGCTCCCTGAGACCAGAGCGTAAGCCTCCGCTTCGCTCTTCTGGGTGAGATAATATTCTTGCACATCCCTGCTGGTTCAGGACCAGCTTTTCCCGCCCAGGCGCCTCCCAGACCTCCGCCGCACTCCAGCAGCCCCACCCCCATCCCTCGCTCCTTCCCGGCTGGCCCCGGCGCATCGCTCACAGGACAAAAGAACCCAGGGGCGCCGAGAGTGAGCCTTGACAGCCCCTAAGTCACCAAAAAGAAGCAGCCTGGGCACCCTGCATCTTCTCCCGGGCGCACCTCCTTCCAGATTGCCTGCGGGTTGCGGGGGTCAAGTCGACCCCGGTCCCAGGCTGCTGGAGCGCCAGGTCACCTTGTCAGGGGCTGCCCGGGAGCAGCTTTCCAGGAACGCCGGACACTGACCACACACCAGGGGCAGAGAACCAAGTGGCCTGCACAAGGCGGCCTCGGGGACTTGTCTGGGAGCGAGTCTCCAGAGTCCCCATTCAAACTTTTGCCTGGAGCAGGTTAACAAAAAAGACCAAGGTGCCAGGGGTCCCTCCCTCCTCTCTAGCTCTAGAAGCTCTGACTTTTCTAGAGGTTCCCTACAATTCCCTCCACTCCCTCCCCCCCAATTCCGTTAGTCCTTCTACCCTCACCCCACCCCAGCTTTCTTTTGTCTGCAGCTTTTTCAGCACCATGGTCCCTCGGTACTACTCTCTCCAAACGTCCTTCTGAAAGTTACCTGATTTTTTTCAGTGCATATATTTTCTTAACTTCGCCTTACCGCTACTTCTATTTGTCTTAATTAAAGCCTTCTATCTATTGCAATGCACTCCTTTTTATACGTACGCTCGCTTTTTTTTTCTTTAAGTTTTTTTTTTTTTTTTAAAGGGGGAACAAAAGAAACGTGATTACCTTGAAAGGCGGCTTATTGCAGTTTGAGGGCAAGAATTCACCGCAGGGTTGCGCGAAGGGGCTCGGCGTTGCCGGGGCGGGTCGCGTAGAAAGCTCGGTGACCTGGGGGAGAGTGCGGAGGTTGCGGGACAGTGCTGGGGGGTGCGGGAGGATGCGGGGCTAGTCGCAGATCCCGGTCCCAGCGCCTGTCTACAGCACCTAGTAGTCGTAGCTGTTGCTCCCGCCCGCCTGGAGTTCTTCCCCAAAAAGGCTTGGGGCAGCTCGCCTGCAAGTTCAAATGCGGGTTGTGACACCCATTCTCATTCTATCACTGTACCGTCAGCTCGAGGAGGAGACTTAGCGAAGAGGACGGCTCGTTCAGGGGCTCTGGAGCGCTCCGCAGAATCTGCCACTCCTTAGGATCCCAGCCTGGAAAATCAGGCAGAGGGGCGGAAGAGCTCCCTGCGCCTGCTGTAGGGACCGCCTGCCTCCCTCCCCAGGCACTCCCACCTCTCGGCGTTTTTTCTTCCTGACAAGAATTACCAATCGGCTTGGGAACTGCAGCGATTCAGCGACTCCCTAAGTATCATCGCGTAGAGCGCACGGAAACCCCTGCCCTCCCATCCAGTCCCCACCCCCTGTTCCCCGCCCCCAGTGTAGCCAGTTCTGGGTTAGGGGAAGGAGCCCCCGGGCTCTTGGAGGGCAGGCCAGCACTAGACAATTGAGTACCATCGGTTCTTCTTGAGAGCAAAGAAAACTCTGTAAAGTCAGCAAAGAACTTGATTTCTGCATGTTTACGCGACCACAGAGCCTGCCCGTCCCATCTGAGGGAAGTGTCAGGCCCACCGCTTCTGCCAACCTGGGAGACTGAAGAAAGGAAAGCCTCCTAAATCCTAGAGGGAAGGTGTAGGAATTCCCCCATTGCCTTCTCTGGGAACTGCCCGATGGGGAGCCCAACCTCATTGGGCAATCTACAAAGACCCTGGTAATAAAGGGCTGGACAGGAAATTCCCCAAGCAAATCCCTTGTCGGATTCAAACAGATCCTTGTCCTCTACCACAAACCTACGTATGTCTAGATTCTGCTTTTTTTTTTTTTTCCTTCTTTCATCGCTCAATCTTTCAAATTGTCCATCACTGTAGAACAGGCAATCATTTTTCTGAATAACAGAATCGACTGTAATAATCATCTTCCCTGTGGTAAAGAAGTGGGGCCATAATCTTTCTAGATTTTTTTTCAGTCAGGCTCATCCACTATGTAAACAAAATCAACACATGGAAGTGCACCCCCCTCCCATTGTGTTACAAAAGATTTCCAATAGGACCTTAAAGAGCAAAGGGTCAACCAGTTGACACAAAGGATTTCTGCTCCTTAAAAGAGAGACTTTGTATCTTCCTTTCCTTTGAAGTCAAGTATGAGTTTATACCATGGGAACAAAATAAGTCCAAGGTGCACAAAAGTTTGACACTGGGGGGTGGTGGAATGGATAGCAAACTTTTCTTTCTGCACAAATATGGAATTATCCTCATAATTCTTCTCCCTGAAGTTTCCACTTAGAAAATTATACCAAACACAATACATTGAAACAGTGATGACTAAAGGAAAAAGTCTGTTTTCACTCTGAATTTGATTTGGTTGACTTAAAAATATAGAGTAGCCTAAACTCCCGTGCATGCACATTTATTTTGTAAGTTTCTTTGCAAGATGTGTGCATTCTGCGTGATCACAGATTTTAAGTGATGAAAGGTAGAAAAAAAGGTCAGGAAAATTTCAATTCTCAATATGTGCATTTATCATTTCTTTTTTTATTATCAGCTCACTACAGTGAATGACATAACAATTACAAGATTTGGAAATCAATGTTTTCACAATGATTTATTTATTGCTAGTGTAACAGGGTGGTCCCGAGGAAAGGGGGAGGTTCCCTGCCCCACCCAAGGGAGGGTGGAGATGAGCAGGGAGAGGAGAAGCTGCAGAAGAGACCCAGGAAGGAAGCAGGATGGAGCCAGAAGGAGACCTGGAGGAGGCGCATGGAGCCTAGAGACATGATTTTGCTCTTTTCCTTCCGGGCTTTTCCAGTTGTTTGTGACCCTTTTCTGTGGGTCCCCACTGGAAGATGCTTTAGACTTGTGGCAGGCCTTGGGGCCTTGCTCTGGGCCAATCCCATTTGGATGGACTTTTACCCACGAGGGGATGGGTAACTTTGGGTGCTTGATTTAGAAACTAGATTCTTTGCCTTACCTGTATTGTTTCCTAGTTTTATTAAAGTTCCTTTTCATTAAAGTCTCCTATGTTTTGTATTGATGCGGCGGATGACAGAACCCATTTAGAATAGGCAGGTTTGCGGGGTTTTGGGCTGCCCCTCTCCCTGTCCTATAACACTAGTAGTTATTATGCTACCATTCCTTACATTGAAATTTTATTCCATTAAGTATTTAGAATAACAGAGTCATGAACAGAATCAGACTTCAACCTTCACATTTAACAGATAAGCAAAATATTCAGAAAGTGACTTTCCTAATGTCACACAATTAATAGCTAAGCTGTTACTGTTACAGGGCAGGGAGAGGGGCAGCCCAAACCCCCGCAAACCTGCCTACTCTAAATAGGTTCTGCCATCCGCCGCATCAACACAAAACATGAGACTTTCATGGGAAGGAACTTTAACACAACTAGGAAACAATACAGGAAAGGCAAAGAATCTAGTTTCTAAATCAAGCACCCAAAGTTACCCGTCCCCTCCTGGGTAAAACTCCATCCAAATGGGAATGGCCCAGAGCAAGGCCCCAAAGCCTGCCACAAGTCTAAAGCATCCTCCAGTGGGGACCCACAGAAAAGCATCAGAAACAACCAGACAAGTCTGGAGGGAAAAGAGCAAAACCAAAATCAAGACAAAAATCGCCATTGTCACCTCCGCATGGGTCTCACCCACATCTGTGTCACCCAGTCCACCACCAAAATACAAGTGCAGTTTCTTCATGTGTCTTTAGGCTCCATGTGCCTCCTCCAGGTCTCCTTCTGGCTCCATCTTGCTTCCTTCCTTCCTCAGTCTCCTCTTCAGCTTCTTCTCTTCCTGCTCAGCTTCACCCTTCCTTGGGTGGGGCAGGGAACCTCCCCCTTTCCTGGGGACCACCCTGTTACATTACCAGGACACAAGTCTTGACTTCTGGTTCAGTGGCCTTTTCAGATCTCATTTTGGTAACTTTTTTTTTTTTAAAGATTTATTTATTTATTTATTTATTTTTTAATTTATTTATACAAGCATTGGGTACAGTCAGAAGTGCAAGAGGGTGAGAGAATTCACCAGAGCCAAAGTGGGGAGCCATGTGGGACCCTCCCTGGCGGGCGGGGATCGAACCGGCACTGCAGAGGCTGTGGGCAGCTTCGCAGCCCTGCACGCTCAACCGCTGAGCCACTGTGGAGGCCCTCCTTTTGGTAACTTTTTAACCGAGAAACTCTTTACTAGGAGAGATAAATGAAATAAAGAATCTTTATTCAAATGTATATTCCAGAGATTAGGGTAGATGTTTCTCTTAAACA